AGAATTAGAGTAAAAAACGAGTTGCACAGTCTGTAAAAATCCTGTCATCTAGGAAACGGTATTTACAATCGATATAGTTTTAGATTTAGTCGAGTTTGTTAATGTAAAAAATATTCAAATGTGAAAGTTTGTACTGAGAATACCTGTTGGATGTTAAATTCAGCTAAATTCGCAAATATAAGAACCAACGCGAATATATTATTACGTAGGTTAAAAGGTTGAGAGACGATCGCCACGGTTTGTTGCACAAATTACGAACGAAGTGAAGATTCGACGACATCATGGTTCATCTTGTTAATACAGAAAGTGTGTTCGAGACGTGCACTTTGTTCCAAAAGCGAGTGCGATATTGGCGAGGCAGAGGACGAGCGAGGCAAATGGTGCTATGAAGATCGTCAGTTTCCATGACGTGCATCGTGATCGCGTGCGATGTAGCGATCAGCCTTTGTACCGAAGTATGATCTTCCTACGGGAAGCCTATTGGGTTACCACCACGGACCAAGAGCCTTCCATATGGAAGAATACATTACGCCAAGGGAAGTCTGGTCAATGAGAAAATCGTGACGTGTGTCGCCAATTTTGACGCTCTCAGGTTTCACAAAATCTCTTTATTCCGACTCCGTCGATCGAATGAATTCTTTCCTTTGTAATTCCAATCGAATCTCGTGAGTTTCGTAAACGTCGAGACAGTACCTTGAAAAGTATATGAAACAGAAAGAGTTAAAAAAAATTGTAGAAAATACTAACTTTGTATATGTATTTTAACATCACGCTGATAGTACCTATCACTGACGCCGATCGCTTTTATTTACAAATGATATACTGCGCGCGGATAAACATTCTTTCTTTTTAACTAATTGAAACTTTTGTTTATCGAAACATGTGCACTCGGATATTGATAAAATTCATTGTGTGTACAGTCATTTTGTGACGATACTTGTACAGATCTTACGTGCCTGATGAGAGGAAAGCTTCCTCTTTCAAACCGTGAACCCACCGAAGGAATAAAGAAATAAAGAGCGGAAGATTGCGGAAGAGTTTGCGCGCCCGCAGGAACTGCAGAACGCGGCCGTT